CCCGGCTTGTGATCGCTATCACTGTGGTCTGGAGGTGGGGCTGGAGGGACCCTGCGTCCTGCCTATAGCACACACAGCCCGTTTCCTGTCAGAGCTGTGGTTTGGCCACTCTCTGAAGAGCCCTGCGAGGCTCCCATTTCTCAGAGTAGCTTCTGCTCAGGAAGTTGGTCCCCCCCAAAGCCCAGGTCTCCTCCCTCAGAGTTGCACTCGTGCCGGGGTGATGCGATGAGCTGCTTCCCCTGAGCATTTAGAGCTGCGATCCAACTCGATTGTGCTGGTGTCTCATTCAGACGAGCAGGCTGATGATGGCTGCAGGGAGCTCACCCTCTCTACACCTGGCTGACAGTCCTCTGGAGCCAGCTGGTCAACCGCTAGCATCTGTATTGGATGCGCTCCTAGTACCTGTCAGGGGTCTGACTCCCTGTATCTTAGCAGGTACCATGGTCGAGTGTACATTCCCATCCTGTGGAGAACATGGGTGTTATTGCCCTCCATCCTTACCACAGTAGCCTAGAAGAACCCTTGTACTCTTTTGCCCTCCTCTGAGCCATAACTTGGGAAGACCCCCTGGAGAGGGAAATGGCAACCCACTCCAGTACTCTTGCCTGGAGAATCCTATGGACGTAGAAGCCTGGCAGGCTGCAGTCCCTGTGGTCACAAAGAGTCAGACACGACTGAAGTGACTTAGCATGCATAGCATGAGCCAGTCCTAAGCAGCCTTGCTTCCTCTCTGCAAGACTCTCTAGACCCTCTGGTACAATGTATCTCCCCAGGAAGTCCCCACAGCTTCCCTCAAGTCTCACTGTGCAACAGGTGATTCCAAAGAGAGGGGACGGTACCCTCTCTGCTCCAACCTGTCACACTAGCTACCTATATGCTCAGGATTGGTTCCTGGATTGACCGTGTCTCAGGTTCCAGGCTTTAGAATATTGGGTAATAAGGTCTCTCTCTGCTCTAAGAGTGGAGAAGGAAATGGCAAAGTGGAGACAGAAATCGCAACCCACTCCATTATTCTTGCCTGAAGAATCCCATGAGCAGAGGAGCCTGGTGGGCCACAGTCCATGGGATGGCAATGAGTTGGACATGACTTAGTGACTAAACCACCACCTGCTCTAAGAAAGTGTCAGAATAATTTAGTAAATGCTTCCAGCACATAATGGACACACATGGAGTGCTTCTTTGTACATCTTAGATGGCTGATTCGTCTCTGATTTTCTGAGATGGACTCCACATTTAAGGACATATGAAGTCATAAAAGAGAATGACATTATTTTATCAGCCAGTTACTTACTGGTCCTGGTTGAAAATGTTTGCTTTTACATTTTAAAATATGCACATGAGTTAACTGGCATGTGAATAACCTGATATCTCTGCTGGGCATTGTGTGGCCTTGTGACAGTAAGTTCATTTTTTGGCTCCTGGATGAAAGGTGAAACTAAGAAGGTAGGTACAAAGTAATTTGACATAAAAAAAGATAGATGTAAGCATTCATTGTGAATAACCCATATCTTATCAAAGAGGTGGGAATCCACATTGAGAATGAGGGGTTGACATTTTTTTAAAAGTCTTTATTGAATTTGTTACAATATTGTTTCTGTTTTATGTTTGACTTTTTGGCTGAGAGATATATGGGATCTTAACTTCCTGATCAGGAATGAAACTCAAACTCCTTGCATTGCGAGGCAAAGTCCTAACCACTGGACCACCAGAGAAGTCCCTGAAATTTTAAAATAAGCGAAAAAGATGCTGAGATTTTTCAAAAATAAAAGCACAACATCAATGATTCATTAATGTGTTTTAAGGCACCTAGTTAATATATACATTGAACACATTTACTACAAAATCCATTTAATGTATTTAAAGAAACATAACAAAAAAGCAAATCATTCTATGCGTTAGAGACAATGACGACAGGAATAAAATTTCTCATGACCATATATTTTCACATATAAATCTTCTTAGTAATTAAATCCTCTTACTTTTTTAACCATACAACTGGCATGCAAAGTCGTAAGTGCTACAAAAGTTAGATCCCTTTCTTATACTGAAAATCTTATTTTTGATTTTCAGTAGTATCTACCACAGCTGTTCTATTATTTAAGTTGCCTTTTATTTTTTAAATTTTTTGTTTTATGTTGGAGTATCATTGATTTACAATATTGTGTTAGTTTCAGATGTACAGCAAAGTGATTCATGAATCCATATCCATATATCCATTCTTTTCCAGATTCTTCTCCCACATAGGTCATTACAGGATATTGAATAGTTTCCCAGACTGTACTGTAGGTCCTAGCTGATTATCTATTTTATATACAGCAGTACCACAGCTGTTTTAAACAGTATCTGCTTTAAATTTTTTTGGAACCGTCATACTGCACCCATATATCCTAACTAGGCTTCCAAGCTTACCCAGCTCTTTCCTTTCTCTGTAAGGCTGATAGCTCTCACTCTCTCACTGATTTTCAGGTCCAGCCATTACCACTAAGGCCACCAGGAAGGCCCAGAGCACTGGGTTCACTTTAAGGAGACAGATACATGTCTTTAGACACTGAAAGTTGCACATGTCCAGTGAAGAAATATCCTATGCCCTAAGGATAGGCTTCTCCTCTATGCTTCTCTGAATAAACGAATATCCTCAAGTCACCGACTCAATGGACCTGAATTTGAGCAAACTTGGGGAGACAGTGAAGGACAGGGAAGCCTGGCAAGCTGCAGTCCATGAGCTCCCAGAGAGTCAGACACGACTTGGCAACTGAAAAACAACTAGTAATAACAAAAGTGGCAGTACCAACACTTACAGAGTGCTAATTCTGTGCCAGTAACTGATGTAAGTGCTTCATGTATACTGATTCATTTAGTCCCCCTGGACAATTCTTATAAATTCTGATTTTACTGATGAGGAAAACTCATCTCAGGTGAGTTAGAGGAGATGCCAGAGGTCACGGTCATAGTAAACCCAGGATCCAGTTCAAGGGTCTTGGCTGCACACTCCCCTGCATGTCCCTCCATCCGAAGTCTCTGCATGTGTGCTCGGTCTGGTCTCTTTGAGACCCCATGGAATGCAGCCCACTGGACTCCTCTGTTCATGGGATTTCCCAGCAAGAATACTGGAGTGGGTTGCCATTTCTCTCTCTGGGGTATCTTCTCAATCCAGGGACGCAACCTGCATCTCCCTGGCAAGTTCGATCCTGCCAGGGATCAAGTAAATTGACAGGCTGATTTATTTTACAGCTGAGCTGAGGGGCATTTTAGATTTGTAACCTTTTAAAAATCGAGCAAGTATATTTAAAATGCATAACCAACAAGGTCCTACTGGATAGCACAGCAAACTCTGCTCAATGTTATGTAACATTATGTGTTATGTTAGCCTGGATGGGAGATGAGTTTCAGGGAGAATGGATACATGTGTATGTATAGCTGAGTCCCCTTGCTGTCCACCTGAATCTATCACAACATTGTTAACCAGCTATATCCCAACATAAAATAAAAGGTTAAAAAAAAATCAAGCCAGTAACCATCAATTTTTTGGCTGCTGAATAACTAATTTGATCTGGTCCCTATCCCATGTCTAAACATTTAAAATCATTAAATGTCTGAGACTTTTTTTTAAAAACCCAGAAAATTATTTGTGTCTGGCATAAAAGGTTGTTCTCATTTCCTTTTAAGAAGTTTCCACAAATAGGTCTAATTAAGCAAGCCCTCTGTAGCATCTTAGTGGGATTTCAAGAACTGTAGGCCTCCAACTGTAGCAAGGATAATTAAGGATGCCCTGAGGTTGAAACACTGTTTCAATAGCCCATACCTCACACCCTGCCCTGCACATAGCCCTGCAGCCCCACCGCCACCAAATCCCAGGCACTGAGGTATTTAGAGGTGAGGCTATGGTTTTTCCAGTGGTCATGTATGGATGTGAGAGCTGGAGTGTGAAGAAAGCTGAGCACCGAAGAATTGATGCTTTTGAACTGTGGTGTTGGAGAAGACTCTTGACAGTCCCTTGGACAGCTAGGAGATCCAATCAGTCCATCCTAAAGGAGATCAGTCCTGGGTGTTCATTGGAAGGACTGACGCTGAAGCTGAAACTCCAATACTTTGGCCACCTCATGCGAAGAGTTGACTCATTGGAAAAGACCCTGATGCTGGGAGGGATTGGGGGCATGAGGAGAAGGGGACGACAGAGGGTTAGATGGCTGGATGGCATCACTGACTCGATGGACATGAGTTTCAGTAAACTCTGGGAGTTGGTGATGGACAGGGAGGCCTGGCGTGCTGTGATTCATGGGGTCGCAGAGTCGGACACGACTGAGCGACTGAACTGAACTGAGCTCTTGCAAGAGCTTGGAGACACCATTCCAGTTCCTGTGTCACCCACTGGCTCATAGACAATACCACAAGGTAAACTTAAAATCCTTTAGCTCAACTTTTAGCATTAAAAAGCTCTTAGAACATGTCCTTATTTTAAGGCATAAGTTATTTGCACCATGTCCAGTCTCACATCAGAAGATGAGATGGTTGGGTAGCATCATTGATCCAATGGACATGAGTTTGAGCAAACTCCAGGAGTTAGTGAAAGACAGGGAGGCCTAGTGGGCTACAGTCCATGGGGTTGCAAAGAACTGCACACAAATGAGCAACTGAACAACAACTGACCTCACAGTTGCTGAATGTGTGACTGAGCAGACTGCCTGCATCCAGTTACAGAAGGAGAAGCAGGAGGCACATTTCTGTTGAGTTCCCTAGTCCTCTGGGAGCCCAGGGACTTCCCCGGTCGTTCAGTTGGTAAAGAATCTGCCTGCAATAGAGGAGAACCTGCTTTGATTCCTGGGTTGGGAAGTTGCCCTGGAGAAGGGATAGGATACCCACTCCAGTATTCTTGGGCTTCCCTAGTAGTTCAGAGAGTAAACAATATGCAAGCAGTGTGGGAGACCTGGGTTCGATCCCTGGGGTGGGAAGATCCCCTGGAGGAGGGCATGGCACCCTACTCCATATTCTTGCCTAGAGAATTCCCATGGACAGAGGAGCCTGGGTGGGGTCACAAAGAGTCAGACAAGACTAAGCAACTAAGTACACACACAGTGGAAGTCCACGGCCATAGAGGAATGTTTAGTCTTATCCCCGGCAACCTAAATGCCAAGTTCATATTCAGTCTGTGAGTAAGATGTTCACAGACTAGAGTTAAATATTTGAATAATGCCCTCTGTTATCCACAGGCTCAGACACTCAGTCCTCAGACTGCCAAGGGCTCTTTCTTCCACTCAGTGTTTCTGAAGATTAGGACTTCAAAAGAACAGGCAAGACTTCTGACTCATCTCTGCAGGGTTTGACTGCTTTTGCAGGCATTAGATAAAGAAGATTCTTCCAGAACCTTGAGTTATAAGACAGAGACTTATCTGCCTTCCACTTCAGAACTCTGTGGGATTTCAAAAGCTTCAGTGATTGAGGCAAAAATCTGAAGTCTCCGATAGGTGTAAATTCAATTAAGATGATTTTAATTTTCCTTTCCACCAATGCTTCATGGAGTCCACTTTCAAGTTCATACCTGACTTCACTAGACATATAACTTTTACTGAGAACGATGATCAGCCTTCGGCTTTTCTCTATCAATGAATGGATTTCATCAACAACAGCTGAAAATACAAGAGATGGCAGGTTAATTTAAGAAAACCAAAAGGGTGGACATGAGATAAAAATCATGTTGCACAATCCTATTTTGCATTATTGAACTCAACTTCACTAATAAATTTTAAGGTAAGTCATTCTCAGTTTTATATGCCTATTTTTTTAACTAATTTTTTTTTGGCTGTGTGGCATGTGGTATCTTAGTTCCCTGCCCAGGGATAGAAATCACACCCCCTGCATTGGAAGCTAGGAATCTTAACCACTGGACTGCCAGGGAAGTCCATATGCCTATTAAAAGAAGCAATCAACTGCACAAAGATAATAATAAATACCCACTTAGCCTTATTCTGTGCCTGGTGTGTGTGCTCAGTAACATCCGACTCTGAACTCCACGGAAGTAGCCCACCAAGGCTCCTCTATCCATGGGATTTCCCAGGCAAGAACAATGGAGTGGGTTGTTATTTCTTTTTCCAAGTCTGTCCCATACCTTCTTCTAAACACATAACAAATATGAACTCCTTTAATCAGCACAATGATCCTATGAAGAAAGTACTGTACTCACCCTCATTTTACCGACGAGGAAACCAAAACACAGAGTGGTTAAGTAACTTGCCCAGAGTCACACAGCTGGTAAATGGCAGAACTGGAATCTGAACCCAAGTGGTCTGGTTCCAGAGTGTCTATTCCTAACCATGACACCATCTTGCCTCTTTACACACACGGAAGAGCATGCTAAAGTTCTAATTGAAATATTCTAAAAACACACACACACAACACTGCCATTATTCTAGACCACAGGTTGAAAACCCTTTTCTGTAAAGGGCCAAATGGTAGATATTTTAGCCTTGCAGGTCATACTGTCGTTGTCACAGCTACTCAGCTCTGCTGATTTGGCTCAAAAGCAGCCACAGACAGCACCAGAGCACAGGCGTGTGGCTGTTTCAAAGACTGGACCTGCCCTGTGGCTGACAGACTGCCAACCTCTGCTCTAGATCTAGCCCTTCTCAGACTGAGTTTCTAATCCAAACTAATTAAGAATTGATGCTTTCACACTGTTGTGCTGGAGAAGACTCTTGGGAGTCCCCTGGACAGCAAGGAGATCAAACCAGTCAGTTCTGAAGGAAATCAACCCTGAATATTCACTGAAAGAACTGATGCTAAAGCTGAAGCTTCAAATACTTTGGCCACTCAGTCAACTCATTGGAAAAGACCCTGATGCTGGGAAAAGAGGGCAAGAGGAGAAGGCGGCAACAGAGGATGAGATGGTTGGATGGCATGAGTTTGGACATGAGTTTGAGCAAACTCTGGGAGATAGTGAAGGACAGGGAAGCCTGGCATGCTGCAGTTTATGGGGTTCCAAAGAGATGGACATGACTAAGTAACTGAACAACAATACAAACATTCCTATTTTCATTTACGAATGAAGAAGAAACCTGTTCTTTAAATGATTCCAAAAAAATAATGGAAATATATTAATAATAAAATGGATGCAAAGTCAAGAAGAAATACTTTGTGACAGCATGTCTTCTTGGATACAAAGAAGTGACACACAAAAGTATCACAGTGCCGAATGCATCTGACAATTTGGTATATTATTCCTTAGAGAGGTTATTTGTTATTTAAAAATATTTTCTCTTTCTAATGTGTAACATTTTCCCTTCTTAATTTGTAACCTAGGAGGGAAAAAACACTTTTTTTTAAAGACTTTTTTTTTTTTTTTGATGTGGACCATTTTTAAAGTCTTTATTGAACTTCTTGTAATATTGTTCTGTTTTACGCTTTGCATTTTGGCTGCATGGGATCTTAGCTTCCAGACCCATCTGCACTCCTTGCATTGGAAGGTAAAGTCTTAACCACTGGACCACCAGGGAAGTCCCCACAACTGTTTCTTATTTACTGCCCTATCCTAAATGCCCAAACTTAGAGTTGGGAACAAGGATGGTGCTCAGTGAAAGCTGAATGAATGAACGAGTGATGGTAACTATCAAGACATTTGTGTTGCATCATTTGTGAGGCACTAGCATCTAGAATAATTTGACACCAGATTCCAAATCTCTGAAAGACTTTCAGAGAAAATGTGGAAGTATTACTAAATCTCTTTGAGTTTAGCTGTAATATACTTCAGTATCATGTTATAGCCATTTGTATTCATATATTAATTTAAAAATTGAATTTCACAATCAAAATATAGTATGAACTGTCAATCTCATTTTATTTAACCTTTACCACTACTCCTAATTTCTACTTCAATTTTCTCACAATGTCAACATGATAAAGAAGAAACATTTTTTGGTAAGAATTAACCTGTGTTTATTGTCCAAAGAATCACATATTAAATTAGGGACTGGTTTTGCTATACACAAAATCCCATCAAAAGAGGGATTCATCCTGTGCTCAGTCATGTTCAACGATTTGTGACTCCATGGACTGTAACCCACCCGGCTCCTCTGTCCATGGGATTCTCCAGGCAAGAATATTGGAGTGAGTTGCCATTTTCTCCTAAAGGGGATCTTCCCCACCCAGAGATAGAACCCGCATCTTCTGACTGGCAGGCGGCAGATTCTTTACCACTGAGCCCCCAGTGAAGTCCTTAGTCTGGTCTATTAAACGCTTTGTGATAGTAATTCTGGCCCTGGTTCTGAAAACGGAGCACTTGCTCCCTTTCTTCAGAGTCAGAGACCTGTGAACTAAGATGAAGAGGCCAAGTCCTGGACCAGGCCCCCGAGAGGCCACACTGGAAGGAGTGCAGGTTGCTCATAATTTCTGGTTTACAGGGGAACGGCTGCCCACTCCAGTATTCTGGCCTGGAGAATTCCATGGACTAGACTGTCCATGGAGTCGCAAAGAGCTGGACATGACTAAGTGACTTTCACTTTCACTTTTCTTTCATTTTTAAGCAAACAGGAGAGCATTTCATAAGGCAAGCTATTCATCTTTTTTTTTTTTTTTTTGTGACTGAACAACAATGATTTATGTTNATATTTCCTGAAAATAAACATAATATCTAAAAAGGTATATCAAGTCAATTTTGAATCCTGAAAAATATACAGTAATACAGTAGAAAAGTTTTTAAGAAGTGAAGATAGAGAAATAATATTTTTTTCCATTTATTTTTATTAGTTGGAGGCTAATTACTTTACAATATTGTAGTGGTTTTTGCCATACATTGATATGAATCAGCCATGGATTTACATGTGTTCCCCATCCTGATTCCCCTTCCTGCCTCCCTCTCCATCCCATCTCTCTGGGTCTTCCCAGTGCACCATCCCTGAGCACTTGTCTCATGCATCTTTTAAAAACCATTTCTACTAATTTTCCTTATTTTTTCAAAGTGCCTTCTTTTAAAATTGGATGTACTGTGTTTATTTATTATTAATGTGTATTTACTTATTTAACCGCACCTCACAGCATGTGGGACCTTAGATCCCCGACCAGGGATTGAACCCACACCTCCTATTGGAAGCTAGGAGTTTTAACCACTGGATGGCCAGGCAAGTCCCCTTCTACTAGTTTTCTATCTGGTATTCCCTTTCTTACCTCCTCCAGGAACCACATCTCTTTCAAATATGCATAACTTATACCCAAAATGTTTCTCCAGCACCCTGGGCAAAGTCTCCACAGCAAACGCGTGCTCCTCCCCGTGTTCAGGCTGACATTCTTTCAGGTAGGACACAAAGGCATCATATGTTTTTCCGTCTAGGAGATAAGGTTGACCCTTTTCATTAGTGTGAAAACAAGACTTTATGTAACTAAAGACGGAGTGAAAGTCCTGGAAGGTGGGGATGGAATCACTGAAAAAGGAAGGTTAAGTATAGCATCCTCACATTCAAACACATCAATCCAATGCAGCGCATACATGAAATTACATACACTACTATGTGTGAGACAGAGAGCTGGTGGGAAGCTGTGTATAGCACGGGGAGCTCAGCTTGGTGCTCTGTGATGACCTGGGGGTGGGATGTCGGGGGGTGGGGGGCACGTTGGTGGAGGGCGGTCCGAGAGGGAAGGGACATATGTATCCATATAGTTGATTCACTTCGTGGTACAGCAGAAACTAACACACCATTAAGCAATTATACTCCAATAAAAAAAAAATCTGTGCAGTTCTTCATATATTGATTATACCTTGATGAAGCTATGAAATAAAAGAATAAAACATTTTTGATAGAGAACAAATTAAAAAATATAACAAGAAGGTTTAAACTAGGTAATGCCTAAGGTCCCTCAAGTATCCTTTGGTTCCATGTTTTTCGTGCATCACTCTTTATCTCTGACTTTTGAAGCTGTCAACAAACAAGGAATACACTCAATTATTATTATAGGCCAACAAAAAAATAACATACTCAGACCTTGTATGGGAATCAAGTAGTCAACTGGCAAATGTTTCCTAAGCATGTACATTAAGAGTTCCACTGCTTGACACCAAAAAGGTCTCTTGCCACAGAGACCTGTGAAGACAGATGAAGAGTTCAAGTCCTAGACCAGGCCCCCAAAGGCCATAACTGGAAGGAATGCAAACTATAGGTTAGGGCACTAAGGGAATTTAAAGAAAATACAAGGTCAAGGAGCCCAAAGATGCCCTCTTTCCAGGACAAGGAAGCAAATCTTACCTTGGCTTATTCTACTGCTATTAATATCATTTAATTCTACTGCCATCTGAATCTACCCTCAAAAGAACCCCCTGAAAGTGAGAATAAAAATAAAGCTGAGTATTTACCCTGGTGAATGGAAAGAAGTGATGGGAGATGATTGAAATCATATGCTATAGGAACATATGCTATGTGGTCTATGATGCTTTAGATGGCAATAGTAAAGCTTCTGGTCTATTAAAGGTTTTCATTGATGACATCTGCTCCTATTTAATTCTGGATAGGAAACTAGTGTTCAAGGGGACTGTGTCAGCAAACAGTAAAGACCATTCTACTAACTGCATGACTGAAAAATAATACACATTCCTCTATTCTGCTTTCATCCAATCTATTTGAGAAGACAGAGTGGACACATGCACCAACTTGAAAAAGCTGACAAATAACACATTAGCAGCTATGAGTCAGTGTAAACAAAACAACAAACAAACAAAGTAACTTGGTCAAAGAGTAAGCAGAGATCTCCATGGATATGGTGTTAGTTGGGGTCAGTAGAGGAAGAAGGTGGAGTAGTTGTAAAAAAGTCTACCTTATCCCATGACATTTGGTTAGATGCTAGAGGAATTGGATTTATGCTTGGGTACATTATTGGACTGAATGAATTTGCTACTGAGTTGAAGGCTAAATATTATCAGCTTCTTTATTTCAAAAGAATAGGGTAAAAGCATTCTTGGTCCATGTTCTTTATGTTGAGTATCACTTATGCTCAATGACCCAGCCCAATATTTTCAGCAGTGTCCAGGTTCACAAAACAACCCTTTCTGTCTCTGGGAAAAGATTCTCCAGTTCTGCCTCTTGCATCCTGGTTCAGCAGCTCAAATCAGAACTTATTGTTGGGTTTAGAGCAACTGCTTTGCAGAATAGAGCATATATGAAAGACTGAACATTTGGTAAAGATTGTGGAATTCACATGCATATCAAAGGCAAGAAAAGTTGGCAGAAATAGAGCTACTTCTGAATTTAATCAGTAAGTGGGTCTCTTGAATAACTCTTAGGTTGCTGTGAAATACAGCTATCTAACAGTATAAGTAAGAGCCAGTGATTCCATTGGGCTTCCCTGGTGACTTAGTGGTAAATGAATCTACCTGCCAATGCAGGAGACACAAGAGACACAGGTTTGACTCCTGGCCTGGGAAGATCCCCTGGAGTAGGCAATGACAGCTGGCTCCAGTATTCTTGCCTGGAAAATTCCATGGACAGAGGAGCCTGGCGGGCTACAGTCCATGGGGCTAGAGAGTTGGACACGATTGAGTGACTAAGCGCACACATGTAATCAAAACAACTGGATCCACATCTACAGTTCTAGTCCTTCTACTTTAGGGAGTTTTCCTTCAGTTACACTGCATACAAACGAAATGACAACTATACAAATTTCTCCACTACATCACTTCTGCAATAACGGAAGTTTGTAAGAAACCCAAATGTCCAAGTGGTGACTCAGTAAACAAAGGCGAATCCACAGAAATAAAACATTGTGCAACCCGAAAAAATGAGAGGCTTTATAAACTAAGATGGAAGGGTATCCAAGATACAGTAAAACAAAGTTCAGAATAGGGTGTAGAGCATGGCAAGATCTGTCTTTCAAATAGGAGTGAACTATGATTCTATATGATTAATATTCATTTGAATATACTACCAATAGGAGTGAGGTGGGAAACAGGCATTGGATGAACATGTACGCATCATCTCTAAGAGTTTTGGTGTTTTGAGCTTTGTATGTGCCACACACACACAACACAGATACAAAAGCAAGCGCAACAGATTATACACATATCTTTCTAATTTGGTAACTATTTTGAATTAAAAAAATTATTTATCTCTTTATTTGGCCACCCTGGCCTTATTTGTAGCCCTTGGAATCTTCAGTGTGGCATGTGGGATTTTTTTTTTTAGTAGTGACATTCAGAATCTCTTGTTTTAGCTGCAGCATGTGGAATCTAGTTCCCAGACCCGGATCAAACCTGGAGCCCCTGCATTGGGAACGTGGAGTCTTAGCCACTGGATCGCCAGGGAAGCCCCTCCATTTTGAATCTTGAGGACTTCTGTTAGTGTAAGTGTTAGTCACGCAGTCGTGCCCGACTCTCTGCGACTCCATGGATTGTAGCCCACCAGGCTCCTCTGTCCATGAGATTTTCCAGGCAAGGATACTGGAGTGGGTTGCCATTTCCTTCTCCAGGGGAGAGCGAGCATGAGGAGCTGGGTGTGCCTGGAGCGGGGGGTGGCCCGGGACGCAATACACTGTGGCGGGCGAGCCAGAAAACCCTGAGGACTTCTAGTCACCTTCAAAATTAGGAAAACTGAGAAACCACAATCCCAAGATAGAAGGAGGAGCAGATAAAAAAAAAAATCGCAGATCTATGGGACTGGAACTCAGGTCATGTGGTATGGAATTCAAGGCTCTTGCAAGTCCATCATGCAGCCTCCTTTGCCGGGTTTAAATAATGAACCATGATACAGCTCAACTCAATTTAAATGACTTTAATGAATGTGCACTTTGTGTAAGGCATCAGATGGTGTGTGAGCAATGACGTTCAGACACTCAGTCCTTGGGCAAGAACACCTCACAGGACATTTAGAAGGACACAGCATACATGCATGAAATGATTAGAGGATAATTTTTGGCAACAGGTAAGCAAGCACAGGAAAAAGTGGTACAGACAACATCCACAGCAGATGATTCATCAGATCAATTTTTCTTACGGAAAACCTCTACTGCCATTAACTCAACAATATAACCAACATAAGGTGAAGATTAATATGTATTTACATAGCTTCTTAATGAAACTGTAAGACAAGAGATCCCAGCATTAAGACATTCGTTACCTGTTAAGGTTTCGTCTCTTCCCATGAAATGTCTATAAAATAGAACCAAGTCAACTCTATAAATGACACCCACGGTCACAAGGCAGACAGCCACCACTGAGATCACGACAGCTACGATCATTCCTCTAGTGAAGACGTGGCCGGGGATGTCAACCATGTCTTCTAGAAAGAAAAAGAAAATGGGAATAATAAGTCAGGGAAATTTCATTGGAGTCTTTCACTGTCACATTGCCGTGGTCAGTTTCTTTAACCTTTAACACAAGTCAACTTGTCTATCCAGTTACTCTGAACTCCTGCATTTAGTCTCCTGTGGTGATCCTTCTGCCCCACAGAAACATGTACAAGGGTATTATTCAGAGATGTGAACTGAAAGTCTGTTCCTACCCGAGGAAGTCAGATTTCTAGCGTGCTGAGACACCAGGGTGAAATGCAGAAGGACCCACATGTAAACCTCAGTTCGTGGGCTGGGAACATATTGTGAAGGTGTGGGATCGTTGAAGATTAATTTTTATTTTATTTTTTAATTAATTTTTGCTGATTTACAATGTGGTGCTAGCTTCTACCGTACAGCAAAATGAATCGGCCACACATATACACACACCCGCTCCTATATGGACTTCCTCCTCGTTCAGCTCACCGCAAAGCATTCGGCAGAGTCCTCTGTGCTACGCAGTATGTTCTCATTAGTGATCTGTCTTATGAGTCTACATGTGTCAACCCCAACGCCCCATTTCCCCCTTGGCACCCACACACGCGTTTTCTACGTTTGCGTCTTTATTTCCACTCTGCAGGCAGGATCATCCATACCAGTTTTCTACATTGCACACGTATATGAATGTGCGGTGTTCATTTTCCTCTTTCTGACTTCACTGTGTATGACTGTCTAGGCCCACCTGTGTCTCTGCAAAGGGCACTCACTATATTTTAACTGAAGCACAGTTGATTGACACTGTTATGCTAGGTCCAGGCGCACAGCAAAGTGAGTCTGTTCTGTGTACACATAAATGCACCCTTCTTCAGGTTCTCTTCTCACATAGACCATCGCAGAATGCTGAGTAGCGTGCCCTGTGGTATACAGCAGATCCTTATTTGTTATCTATCTGATACATAGCGGTATGTACGTGTCAATCCCAACCTTCCAATTCACCCTTCCCCACCCCTTACTCCCTGGTCACCTTGACAGACGGAGTGCCCAGGTAACGGCACGTGGGCTCCAGCCTGGACCCATCACCTATTCTGTGTCCCGGAGAAAGTCACTGATGCCCTAAACTCTTAGCATCTTATCTGTACACACAGGACAGCAAGGAAGCTAGGAACATTTTCTCCTTCACTTACAGGGCTGCTCTTTTGAAGGTGGGTTAAATATTACAAATAAATAGTGAACACATTACCTGGCACTCAGCTCTGAGAATTTTTGCATATTTTTATATGAAAATGTCCTTTGAGAAAAAAAAGTTACCTTTCCTAAATTTATGCTCATTACGGACAACATAACACATAAAGGTATAAAGGACAGAATAATTTTTTAAATAAATCTGTTCAAAACTTTTAAAGTTGCACACTTTTTTTTTTTAATTTTAATTTTTTGGCCACACAGCATGAGGAATCTTAGTTCTCCAACCAGGGACTGAACCCACACCCCTGCATTGGAAGTTTGGAGTCCCAATCACTAGACCAGGAGGGAAATCCCAATAGAATAATTTTTAATAACCATTCCACAGTGTGACCATGGCCACTACCAACACACTAGTACATTTCTTTCTAGATTTTTTTTCCCTGAAAACATTTAATTGGAAACACATGGTGATTACTCTTTATTGCTTAACATTATATTATGAGCATTTTTCTACATCTTACAATTATAATTTATGCCATCCCAATATTTAGATCAACTCCAATTTTTCATAAATATACATAATGTTGCAATGAATATATGTATAAACCTTTACCTATGTTTCTGATTATTTTCCTCAAGTACATTCTAATGGCGGTGGGATTGATTTCTGGGTCAAAGAGTATAAACATACACAAAGTTCTTGTCATCTTGACACAATTTTAGGGATTATCTTTCCAGTAAAAGTAACTATTAGGATGTAAGTAAGCAAACACCGGGCTTCCCTGGTGGCTCAGTGGTAAAGAACCCATCTGCCAGTGCAGAAGACGTGAATTTGATCCCTGGGCCAGGAAAATTCCCCTGGAGGAGGAAATGGCAAGCCTCTCCAGTATTCCTGCTTGGTGAATCCCATGGACAGAGGAGCCTGACGGGCTATAGTCCATGGGGTCACAGACAGACACGACTAAGCGGCTAAACAACAAAAGCAAATGCTGTTGCTTAATAAGTTAACTCTGGATAAACATAGGCCCTGAGGTTCCTGCATCTCTGAAAGGAAGAATGTAACTGTATCACACAATGCATACACTTTCATGCTAGCCCAAATACTCCTCCAGGGGAAATGATGGCATCAAAGACCAAATTCCCTAGGTAATATCTGTGAGCCCAGGAGAAGAAGATAAGGTCAGGGTAGAAACTTTTACGGCAGAGATAGCACAGCCTTGTGCTGACCTAGGACAGTGCACCGCTGTCTGAGCAGCCACTTCTGAGCATCTCCTGAGTTCACGTCCTGGGGCTGGACTGTTCTGGTGGAGGTTGGAGTCGGTGGTGGTGGTTGTTTAGTTGTTAACTCATGTCTCACTTTTTGTGACTCCATGGACTGTAGCTTGCCAACTCCTTTGTCCATGGATTTACTAGGCAAGAATATTGGAGTACATTGCCATTTCCTTCTTCAGGGGATCTTCCTAACCCAGGGATGGAAGGCAGGTCTCCTGCATTGCAGGTGGATTCCTTACCGACTGAGCCACCAGGGACACCCAACATGGAGGTGGGTGATTCTGGAATACTCCATCAGATAGGTGCTGAAACACCTGAAGAGTCCAGTGATCAGTCATCAAATAACTGTCCACATGCCAAGACCAGGGACTGGCCCAAAGGAGGGAAACCTAAGTTCGCCTTTGTTGAATGAAAGACCGGCCAAGGGCTCCTGTGCCCACAGCCCCGCTGAGTTAGGATGGAGGCAGGACCACTGGCCTCATCCTCCGCCCAGCTGCAAACTTCCCTGTGGTTATCCAGAGTGTGGCAGAGCTGTTCAGACTACCTCCCCCACGATCCTTGCCCACCAGCATCTTCAACCCTGAGCTCCACCTACCTCCCTGCTCCAGGCTCCTGGCTGCTGCATAGGATTGGAATATGACTGAGAGCAAAGATAGACCTGAGGCTTTCATTCCTCACAAAGGACAGCAGCGAAGGCTGAGCACCCGCTCTGCCACTGAACACCTGTGATAAGTCAGACCCTTCCCCCTCAGGAGCTTGCTTCCTGGTTTGTAAGGTGAGGAAGTGATGAGCTATGACGGGCCTCTCAGTTGCAGCGTTCTAGGTTTGCACCGACTTCCAAAAATAAAATTTCTCACACCTTCTACCAGCAAGAGGAAGCTTTTGGTGTCGATGCCTCCCTGGTTGACCGCAGTGCAATTGTATGCAAAGTTTAGATTTCTTGTATTTATGTTCTCAATCCTCAGTATTGTAGAAGCAAGCCATTTGCCTTCTGAAGTCCTGTAAGAGAGGAACATGGTTTAACAATAGGCTGTGTGCCGTTACCAGCGACATGACCCATGAGAGAGGAATCTGTATGCACAAATACGTCTGTAAAAAGCAATGCTCTATGGACTTCAGAGATCTTCGCTTTCTGCTGAGTTCTGTTCAAGTGTGAGCTTCCTGCTCCCTGGTGATGTCAGTCCTCCTGAGACCATCTGGGGCAGGTGCTGCCTTGAACTAAAATGCCTGGAAGATGACGATGTTCAGTTGAAAATACAAGAAAATATTCTCTCAAATGCAGGCATACTGCATTTTACTGAACCTTGCTTTATTGCACTTTGCAGATATTGCACTTTTTACAAAATCAAGCAAGTCTCTGGCTGCCATTTTCCCAACAGCATTTGCTCGCTTTATGTCTCTGTGTCGCATTTTGGTAATTCTCAGAAATTCACATTTTTTCATTATCATTATATTTGTTAGGGGATCTGTGATCAGGGATCTTTGATGCTACTCTCGTATGGTTTGAGCATCTATTTTAGCCATCACGTATTTCAAAATAAGGTATGGACATTGTTCTTTACATTTAATGCCATTGCACACTTAATGGAGTACAGTACATGCCCAGTCGCTCAGTCGTGTCTGACTCTTTTGCAACCCCATGGACCGTAGCCCGCCAGGCTCCTCTGTCCATGCGATTTCCCAGGTAAGAATACTGGAATGGGTTGCCATTTCCTTCTCCAGGGGATCTTCCCCATCTAGGGATCAAACCTGCATCTCCTGCATCTCCTAGATTCTTTACCACTGAGTCATTGGGGAAGCCCACAGTATAGTGCAAATAATTTCATGTGCATTGGGAAACCAAAAAGTTCATGGGACTCACTTTATTGCGGTATTTGCTTTATGGTGGTAGTCTGGAACCAAACCCGCAATAGCTCCAAGGTGTGCCTGTGTTTCATCTATTCCTCCTGTCCCGACTATCCAGTGTCCCTCCCACCGTGAAGTCTCTGCCAGCAGTGACAAGGCTGTGATTCATTAGTACAGATGCAGATGCAAATCAAGCTTGTCCTCACAATCCTAATGATAACTCTTATTTTGTTCAGCATTTAAATTAAAACACAACACTATTTTCAGACATCCTCCAAGCACATGAGAAATACCAGTTAAGCTGCTCAGAGAGTGTCAGAAAATGACTAGAGACCACTAGTGCAGCCAGCTGTCTTTTTCTTCTGAAAGGACTCAAGATGTCCTGTCTTTGATACAAGGCAAATGCTCTTGCTATCTGCCTCTTGCCAGTGGCAGGCTCTATAGGCTTAGGGTCAACCAGCACTCCCAAGTATAGTCATTCACCTGCCAGGCCTCCAGCAGCTGGACGCGGGATCCACTGCAGCCTCCAACTCTCTCAGTTTCATTTTAGAACCAATTCTCTACGGAAGTCACCAAACCAGAAATAGCTTCCCTGGTGGCTCATATGGTAAAGAATTTGCCTGCAATGCAGGAGGACCTTGGTTTGATCTCTGGGTTGCCAAGATCCCCTGGAGAAGGAAATGGCAACCCCCTTTAGTATTCTTGCCTGGAGAATTCCATGGACAGAGGAGCCTGGGATAAAGAGTCCATGGGGTCACAAAGAGTCAATCACAACTGAGCGACTAACACTTTCATCTTTCTTTCAACATCAATGTAAAATCCACAAACAAGACACAAAAAAACTACTGAGAAGCCAAAATAGAAGACATAAGTTCATGCACCCACTATAAAGAAAGATTCAGCTTTACTTAGGCTCTTAGCTGAGTTTAAGCTCCATTTCTGTAAGTTTGGTGAGTTGGTTTGCTGTGCCTCCAGAGATGAGCGATAGACCATGGGAAGGGGGAAATGCAGGAATCCAGTGGGGGAATAGATGCTGAGGACAAGATAAATATAGCAGCTGGGGGGCCACACAGTCCAGCTGAGCCAACATTTCATGAGCACCAATCTCACACCTGATTCTGGGTGAGGGCATAGACCTTGCACTGTAAGAAGCTTGTAGACGTGTCAGCAAGAATTGAGGGCTGCCAGCAAGATGTCAGAGAATATATATATATATATATATATATATATATATAACATATATATATGGTGCATATAAAAAAACAGAACAATCTCAAAAATGTAGCTAAGGTGACAGACACCTCAGGACCACAACTCACTAAAACCTGAGTGTACAATTTCCTTAATAATGACAGTAATGACTCCAAACCATTCAGAACCATTTAAATGGCCATAGTGGGACTTCCCAGGTGGTTCAGTGGTTAAGATTTAGCACTTCCACTTTAGGAGGTGGTGGTTCAATTCCAGTTCAGAGAACTACGATCCCACAAAGGCAGGTGCAGGCAAAAATGAATAACTGGCCATCAGTTCAGGGTGTTTTGTTTTAATAAAGTATAGCCATTCCTTTGTTGCTGTTGATCAGTCACTCAGTCATGTCCGACTCTTCAGCAACCCCATGAGTTTGAGTAAACTCATGTTCTTTAATATAGGATACTTAAGTATTAAACTATATGCCATTTGGAACTTTTTGCACTAACTCTGCCTCCTGGATATTCATACGTAACCACTGCCCTGCTGGGTGTTTCTACCTGCTCCTATTGTGTTTCTTATTTCCAATGATGGACACTGACAGGAAAAGGCTGCCATAATTACTAGGAACAATGTCAATCGACCAACAACAAATGTCGTGGGGTAGGTGATTGGTCATTTAAATCAGTGTTTTCTTGAGTGATCATATACACCTGACAATCTTTGGAGACCCTCCTGGACTTGAGGAAATTCCTTGATTCTCATCTTTAAGAGAGATAATTATATATATATATATGTACACATATATATATATATATATATACACACGTATAGCTGATTTGGCTTGCTGTACAGTAGAAACTAACATGACACTATAAAGCAACCACACTCCAAAAAAAATTTTAAAAAGCAAATATAATTGATTAGTGGGACTACCCTAAAAAAAAATAGATAATCACTATAAGGAACGTTATACAAAGAAGCTCTGAACTATCCCTAAAGAGCAGGAGGCAGTGTCTATGTCAGCATAGGTCATGCCCAGTGAGGATATCCCCAAACACACAAAAAACTGTATTGAAAGGGCTCTCTCCATCTTTGTGATTTTCAGTTCTCCTCAAGTTTCCGTAATTTCCAGCAACAGAACAAAGAAAAATGTGTACGGGGGAAGTCCAGGGGGCAGATCTGGAGAGGAAGTGGTATTAATAGATGGCCTACCTGTGGCCGGGGTGTTCCAGGACTCTCAGAGAGGTGCTGGTGATGCGCTGCGCCACCTGTGGACACCCAGCTGGCCCCAAGGTGACACATAGGCAACACAGCCAGGCATGCAATAAGGGTCCGGAGCGCACTCAAGGGGCTCAGACTGACTTGTACACGTCCCAGTCTCCTGACCTGGTCTTTTCTCTGGCACATTTGTAAAATCAAAGCATTTAACACAATGTTCAAAGTTCATATGACAGTGGCCTAGTTAATCACTCTTCCATAAGATGCCTAAGGTAAAGTCTTCACCCCCATCAGATCCTGACTCACCAAAAGCTACTTCTGTAAGGCGGTGCTAATAAGCCTCACTGACGTTCTTTTTCTTTATTGACTACACCACATGGCATGCAGGATCTTAGCTCCCTGACCAGGGAATGAACCCGCACCCCCTGCATTGGAAGCATGCAGACTTGATCACTGGACTGCCAGGGAAGTCCCAACCTTCTCTTTCTAATTTAGATATCAGCAATAAATTTCTGCATCATTCATCAGCTTAGATATGAGAATTGTAGTTATGAAATATGTAAGTTATAATAATAAGTTAAATTCATCTCAAGCATCCCTATCAGTCTTTCAGGAATCTGGTGTTTTGATCTCATATATATATATATATATATGATACAGGGGCTTCCCTGGTGGCTCAGTGGTAAAGATCCCACCTGCCAATGCAGGAGATGTGGGTTTGACTCTTGGTCTGGGAAGATCTCCTAAATTAGGAAATGGCATCCCACTCCAGTATGCTTGCCTGGGAAATCCCATGGACAGAGGAGTCTGGTGGTCTACAGCCCATGGGGTTGCAAAACACTCAGACATGACTTAGTAGCTGAACAACAACAATATATCACATATCCATACCTAATTCTCGTCACTTCCCCTTCATGTACATTAGGATCCTTTCCATTTTTCCTCCAGGTGTTCCAGTAAATCATATCCTTTTCATTCAGCAAAGCAGAGCAGTTGAGCTGTATATCTTTTCCTAGGTAAAAGTTGACAACCAACGTCCTGATTTTAGAAACTCAAGTTTCCCAAAGGCTAAAATTAATAAAGCCAATGTATATTAATATAACATATAATGCTAATATAGTGCTGCATCTAAGAAAAATATGCCTTGTTCTCATTAAAAAAAAAACTTATAAAGCAGAGAAATTCGGTTGTGATTACAAGTCATCACCAAACTATGAATTGGCCTCTATTCAAATATTTATGTTGAAATTAATTATTAAAACTTAGTAAGGCCAGTGGACTTTCTTTTCAACCAACAGTCTAATAAGTAGTGTCAGGCCAAAACACCCACTCTAACTTCTAGAAAAACAAAATGGATAAAAAACAAAAAAATTGAATGAGCTAAAAGTTAAAGATGTCAAAGTGCAGGGCAAACCAAGAGCAACAGTTGGACAGAAAGCACAGTGAGGAATAAAGTTCTTCCAGGGTGAACTGGGGCTTCTCTGGTGGCTTAGGGGTAAAGAATCCACCTGCCAATGCAGGAGATACAAGTTCAATCCCTGGGTCAGAAGATCCCCTGGTGAGGGAATGGCTATCCAGTCTAGTCTTCTTGCCTGGAGAAGTACATGGACAGAGGCACCTGGCAGGCTACAGTCCATAGGCTCACAAAAGAATCCAACACAACTCAGCAATTTTTGAATAGCAAAAACAACAGTCAAGTCAGTCCACTGATTCAAAGTGAATCCCTTAATCAAATATTCAAACCATACAGTAAGTTTGAATAATTTCTCCAGAGAGTTCTCATTGAGTTTTCATATTTAAAAGTGACCACAGTTACTATTCGGAGAAGGAAATGGCAACCCACTCTAGTATTCTGGCCTGGAAAATCCCATGGACAGAGGAGCCTAGAGGTCTGCACGTCCAGGGGATTGTGAAGAGTTGAACATGACTTAGTGACTAAACAACAGTTACTGTTAGAGAAAAGCCACATAGAAAGTGACTAAAACCACGGGCCTGCAAACCATAGGCACTTCCACAATCGTTTGAACACATTGCTAATTTTAACTATCACTAAGAAGCGCAACATTCAAACAATGACAAGGTTTTCCTGCTTTTGTAATATTCTTCAGTAAACATGGTATGTGTTAGGAACACAATGTTGATCAATAAAAAACCAGATTTAGCCTTCAAAGACTCAATTATGCCCCCGTTCATAAATCCAAAATATACATATGTCAAAATATACCTAATTTCACTTTAACTTCATCGATCTTTGGTCCAAGAAGAGCTGGAATTATATTACTGTGGTCTGAAAGCGAATAAAGAAGAGAAAAATGCATTAGTGTTGCATGGAGCTTTGCTAAGACAGATGTATTACAACATCTGTTGTAATATACTTATCATTCCAGGTAACAAACATTCTAACAATCATCACTTTACATTTATTATTTTATTGTATTTTCATTAGATAAGGGAGACAGGGAATACTGGTTGTCCTTTCCATCACTTTTCATCAACTCAAAGCTCACCTAACTGGAGAGAGCTTACTGAACTTGGTCTCCCCTCAGTTCCACCTATGACTTCTGCCCAGCACAGCTAAAAGCCAGAAGATGCAAGAAGACAATGATACCTCCAGACCTAGAAGATGCAGACTCACTGGGAATTGTCTTTGTGTTCTCCCTTCTCTCTGCCATCAATACCTCAAAATAGATTTACTGGATGCAAGGCACTGACTAAGTGGCGTGTGCCAAGGATGCAGGTGCCTCTAGAAGCTGGAGAAGGCAAGGTATTGATTCTCCTGCAGAGCCTCTAGAATGAACACAATCCTACCAAAACCTGGAATTTAGCCCAGGGAAACCATTTTAGACTTTTGACCTCCAAAACTGTACAATAAATTTATGTTGTTTGAAGACAGGAAGTTTGTGGTAATTTGCACATTCACAATGCATGCATGGAATACAGCTATATAAGTGGACAGTTGGAGAGAAGAGGGAAAATGCTGCTAAAGTAAATGAGCTCTAGAAACTGTGAGCCCATGACCTTGTTGGATGAATCAACCTAGGAGTTGACAGCTTCCTGGGAAAGAAGAAGAAGGGTGGATAAGCCACCTGTCTTCAGACACTTGAAGGAGCTGTCATTTGCAGAAGGGACCAGATTTAATTTGTGGAGTTACTGAAGGCAACCACAGCCACAAGTGGAAACTACAGGAAGACATCAGTTCAGTTCAGTCACTCAGTCCTGTCCAACTCTTTGTGACCCCATGGACTGCAGCACACCAGGCCTCTCTGTCCATCACCAACTCCTGGAGTCTACTGAAACTCATGTCCATTGAGTCGGTGATGCCATCCAGCTGTCTCATCCTCTATCATCCCCTTCTCCTCCCACCTTCAATCTTTCCCAGCATCAGGGTCTTTTCAAATGAGTCAGTTCTTCATATCAGGTGGCCAAAGTATTGGAGTTTCAGCTTCAACATCAGTCCTTCCAAAGAATATTCAGGACTGATCTCCTTTAGGATTGACTGGTTGGATCTCCTAGCTGTCCAAGGGACTGTCAAGAGTCTTCTCCAACACCACAGTTCAAAAGCATCAATTCATCGGTGCTCAGCTTTCTTTATAGTCCAACTCTCACATCCATACATGACTACTGGAAAAACCATAGCCTTGACTAGATGGACCTTTGTTGGCAAAGCAATGTCTCTGCTTTTTAACATGCTATCCAGGTTGGTCATAACTTTCCTTCCAAGGAGTAAGTGTCTTTCAATTTCATGGCTGTAGTCACCATCTGCAATGATTTTGGAGCCCCCCAAAATTAAGTCTCTCACTGTTTCTATTGTTTCCCCATCTATTTGCCATGAAGTGATGGGACCAGATGCCATGGTCTTAGTTGTCTGAATGTTGAGCTTTAAGCCAATTTTTTCACTCTCCTCTTTCACTTTCATGAAGAGGCTCTTTAGTTCTTCTTCTGTTTCTGCCATAAGGGTGGTGTCATCTGCATATCTGAGGTTACTGATATTTCTCCCAGCAATCTTGATTCCAGCTTGTGTTTCATCCAGCCCAGCATTTCTCATGATATATAAGTTAAATAAGCAGGGTGACAATATACAGACTTAACGTACTCCTTTCCTGATTTGGAACCAGTCCATGTCCAGTTCTAACTTTTGTTTTTTGACCTGCATACGTATTTCTCAGGAGGCAGGTCAGGTGGTCTGATATTCCAGTCTCTTTAAGAATTTCCCACAGTTCATTGTAAAGGCATAACTGGACTGAATGGGAAAAAAAGACTCATTGACAATCAAGCATTAAAATCTTGACCCAGCTGCTGAGTGATTTGGTCATTTCCATGGCAGTTCCCAAGAAGAGACTGAATGATCTATTACTGGCTGAGCCATATGAAGGATATCTTCACTGGGTGGGATTTAACTAAATAATTACTTCTAAGGTCTCCAGCTCCAGTGCTCCGGTGGTTTAGATGGTAAAGAATCTGCCTGCAATGCAGGAGACCTGGGTTAGATCCCTGCGTTGGGAAGATGCCCTGGAGAAGGAAATGGCTATCCACTCCAGTATTCTTGCCTGGAGAGTCCCCATAGATAGAGGAGACTGGAAGGCTACAGTCCATGTGATCGCAAACAGTTAGACATGACTGAAGAGACTTTCCAAGCAAGCAAGCAAGCTCTCCAATACCCTACAAGTCCAGGCTTCAGTGTTTCCATTACATAGGGTCTGGGTTCATGGTAAACCAGAATAAAAGCCATCATCTCAAAATGTAAAGCTTCTTCCGCAGCCACACCTGTGCTCCTTACATGTTCTCACCTGAGTGGACAGTCCCTAGCATGTCCTCCTATCTGTCCTTCATGCTCTGCCTCTAGGAACCAGCTCAAATAGCCTCCAGCCTCTCTTCTACCTCTGAACTCTTTCTGAGCCCTTAGAAACTCACAGATGACTCCAATTTCATATTCTGTGGTGCTTCTATGTGGCTTATCATCTTGATACAGAGCAGGATCCAGTGGGGCTCCTGGGCACAAAAGCCTTTCTGTGTCCTCCATTTATTGAATACAGGAAATTGGCTTCATTCAGCCTCTAGGGCCTTCCCTGAGTTTCCAGGATGCAGGACAAGGGAGGAACAGTCAAGAAACAATAGACAGCCTTGGGGCAGAGTCCTGGTTCCCCCTCAAGGGACACACAGAACAGTATCTTTGAGCTGTTTTGCAAATACTGAAACCCCCACCAGGTGGGAGAAGTTAGCAGTGATAAATGGAATACTTTCTGCCACACCAGTTAACAAAGGATATCACAGTCATCAGAGACTGCTGCTGTTGTTGTTCCGTTGCTCAGCCAAGTTCAACTCTTTGCAACCCCATGGGTTGCAGAGCATCAGGCTTCCCTGCCCTTCACTATCTCCTGGAGTTTGCTCAAACTCATGACCATTGAGTCTGTCATACTATCCAACCATCTTATCCTCATCAGAGATGAGCCCTCCAATGTGAGCTAGGGCTTCCCAGATGGTGTTAGCGGTAAAGAATCCACCTGCTGATGCAGGAGTCACAAAAGACACAGATTCAATCCCTGGGTCAAGAAGATCTCCTGGAGGAGTAAATGGCAACCCACTCCAGATTCAATCCCTGGGTTGAGAATTAGGGATTCCTAATCCCTGGATTAGGAAACAGCAACCCACTCCTGTATTCTTGCCTGGGAGATCCCATGGACTGAACAGCCTGGCAGGCTACAGTCCATGGGGTTGCACAGAGTCAGACACAACTAAGCAAATGAGGACAGTGCTAATGTAAGCTTGTGAGCCCTGAGGGAACTCAGAAAGTAGCATACTTGCCATCTCAGTCATCAGGCCACAGCCACTCCCTAGGGTGAACCCTTAGGAACCTCCAGATGTGCAAACACAGGATACTAGCCCCAGAGAGCTGAAGTGAAGTGAAGTGAAAGTTGCTCAGTTGTGTCCACTCTTTGCAACCCCATGGACTATACAATCCATGGCATTCTCCAGGCCAGAATACTGGAGTGGGTAGCCTTTCCCTTCTCCAGGGGATCTTCCCAACCCAGGGATCAAACCCAGGCCTCCCACATTGCAGATTCTTTACCAGCTGAGCCATCACAGAAGCAGAGGTGCATAGCAAAGTAATGACTTCAGGGAGCCCAGATTCTTGTATCTTCCCATACACAGAAAAGCGCTATATTCCTTAACTTGTGATATCTAGTTTTCTTTAATTAACAATACTCTTGAGGTTCAGATTATCTGCCCTTTGTTGCAAAACTTCTAACCTGGCTCCCCATTCACCTCCTTGGAGCAGTTCTCTCAGGGTTACTTGAGATGCTGCCTTCTGGGCTTCAACACTCTCAACTTTTAGGTTGTGAATATTTTTTAAGTTGACAATGGTATGCTGCCCATAAGAATGTAGACCTCAGACTGGTTACAACTGGATTGATCATGCTGATGCTCACTCACCACCAACCAATCAGAAGACTGTCCTCAGGCTGACCATGCCCTCTTTGAACCATGACTCCTCACTACCCCCTCCAGGTGGAGACACACAATCTGGAGAGTATTAGCCCACCATGACTCCCTTTGTCTGGCAAAGTAATAAAGCTATTTCTTTCTACTTCACCTAAAAATCTGTCTCCAAGATTTAATTCAGTGTCAGGGTCCAGAGTTCAGATTTGGTGTTAACCTCTCCTGACTATATATAATCAAATTCCTGAAAACTGCATTACTCACTTAATTTCTCACCTAATTACTATCTCCCTGCTTTTCTTACCTCCGAATACTCAGTTTATTGAATATAGATGCTAAATAAGCAATATTGAGTGAAAGCAGATGCTTAATAAAAGATTTCACAATGTACTGAAATATCAAATGAGGGAACATCAGAGGTTCACTTATATCAACTTTTATTACCCACCCTCACTCCATCAGTGCAAAATTATTCAGAGTGGAAGATGATGCCAAAATGATTTTGACCCTTATATGTGAACTAGTGATGTGGTCACAAGTCCAACTAAGTTGCTTCTGCCTTCCTGTATGACTTTAGAAGAAAGAAAACAGTCCGTTTTACGAAGACACATTTGTTTCTTCCTGATTCTAAAATTTATCTTACCTCCAACTATTGTAATATTGAAGGTTTTGGTGACGTTGAATAGTTTTCCATTATGATGTAGGAAAAACACACAGGTATAATATCCCTGATCTTTAAACTCTGCATTCTTTAAAAATGGGTTTTGATTGTTCTTCATCTTTGTACAGTTCTGTTTTAGAAAAAGCAAGTTAAAATACCTTGAGTAAAAATGGTATCCTATGACAAGAATTTAAAATGCTAAGTTAAAGATCTTTAGAGAAAGAGGGAAAGAGAATGAAAACTAGCAATTTCTGAACAAATGTCTCAGTGATTTGGTACTGCCTCTACTGGAACAATGAAATATAGTCCCATTAGTGAATTGGACCCTGAAACAAAAAAGAGAAACTAGTAGAATTAGAATGAGGTCTGTAGTTTAGTTAATAATGTTTAGTTCAGTTCAGTTGCTCAGTCGTGTCTGATTCTTTGCAACCCCATGAACTGCAGCAGGCCAGGCCTCCCTGTCCATCACCAACTCCCAGAGTCCATTCAAACCCATTTCCATCTAGTTGGTGATGCCATCCAACCATCTCATCCTCTGTTGTCCCCTTCTCCTCCTGCCCCCAATCCCTCCCAGCATCAGGGTCTTTTCCAANGATTAGAAAGGCAAAAAGAGGGGCTTCACTGTTGATCCAGTGGTTTAGAATCTGACTGCCAATGCAGATTCAACATGTGTACTGAATGCCTAACATGGAGCATCCTACATGGATGTGGGAGCTCAGCCAAGTCAGCTGAGCTGTGCAGACCCACAGCTTGTGTGTTACGTGTTATGAGACCAGAATGCTGCGCAGCCATCAGACCCTGCTTCTGGGATTGTGTCTTTTCTATTGTCTTCAGTTAAAGTATTTTAAAAGCACTACCTTATACAATACCGTTCTATTGACCAGTTGTTGATAGTAATTGTGCTCACAGGCTATCTGCAAAGATTTCTTAACTTCCACAGCTTTACTCGTTACCAGCTTCTCAGTAAAACAGCTGTGTTTACTTCTTGGGATGACATTTAATTTCCAGTCATGAGTATCATTTCTAGAAAATAAAGGTTTAGAGATATTTTATCATTAGGACAGAGACTTTTCAAATACCACTTTTCAGTAACTAATCCAGTGAAAAAATGTTCCCTTATTTTGTAAAAAGAGACTCGTTCATGGATGCCCAAATCCTGTTCTTCTACCCCAACTGTGAGTTATATAGTCTACCTTAGTGTGGAAAGACCCAACTGCAACCCACTTCTGTAATCACCCCTGCTAAAAGGTCACATAACATTCACAGGTTAATAAGATTTCTTTCTGACTCCTGAGAGTTCCTATATGTAAAAACAAACCCAAATGACCTCACTCTGTGCAAAACCACAGGAGTGCAATTAAGGTTTCACTGCGGTGTCTCACTCAGTTCTCAAGAGCTCTGATGATAAATCAGGACTCACTCCAGAGGTGCTTGTGAAAGAAATCTACTATGTCTAGCAGTGCTGCATCACCATGTACCTGGCCCTGAGCTATTTTCTACAGGTCAGTCTCAAATCTCTATAAAAATCCACACATGGAACTTCCCTGATGGTCAAGTAGTTACAAATTCACATTGCAATGTAGGGGACATGGGTTCAATCCCTAGTCTGGGAAGATTCCACATACCATGGGGCACCTATGCCCCACGTGCCACAACTACTGAAGCCCGCATGCCCTAGAACCCATTCTCTGCGACAAGAGAAGCCAATGCAATGAGAAGCCTGCTCCCTGCAACTAGAGAGTAGCCCCTGCTCATTGCAACTAGAGGAAGTGAAGACCCAGTTCAACCAAAAACAAAAATAAATTAATTTAAAAGAAAACCAGACATATATCATGTATACATAAGTACATACACAACATCACAAACGTACCAGATTAACACTACTGTCACCCATGTTCTCACTAACGATTCATCACATAGAATATTTCTTGTCCCAGTTACTCCTTCCCCATCTCACCAAATAAAGTATAAAGAGATTCAAGTTCAGTAATAATCACTGACATGTTCAGTGAGTGTCTGTCATTTCATAGAGTTCAGCATTCTTGACTACAGGTATCCTGGAAGACTATCTAGGCTTAGTCCTGAGAAGGCTGTGCAAAGTCCATTGGATGCTCCCCTCTCACTGCCCTGGGAGGTAGGTTTGTGACTGTCTGACCCGCACATCTTTCACCAGCACTGCCCCCTGGCTCTCAATCAACCCTGAAACTGGACTAGGGTGTGTGTGTTCATCGCTCAATCATGTCTGACTCTTTGCAACCCCGGGGACTGTAGCCCACCAGGCTCTTCTGTCCATGGTGTTTCCCAGGCAAGAATACTAGAGTGGGTTGCCATACCCTTCTCCAGGGGATCTTCCCAATCCAGGGATCAAATCCGTGTCTCTTGTGTCTCCTGCACTGGCAAACGGATCCTTTACCACCAAGCCACCAAAGAATTATGGCCACCAGGATTAGAGTGTCTACCCAATGCCAGCCCATCTCCCCAGTCTGAGGTCATCACCCAGGAATCTGTTTTCCTTCACTTCATGCTTAGAAACATCATGAAGCCTGTACCACTTAATTCTTTTGACTGGTGACTTTGGGCAACAGGAACAGCTGAATTAAAAAATGAATTTCACTGAAGCCTCACTTATCTTTGGCAAGGGTCAACTACAAGTAAGTCACACTGAAGCAATCCCCTTTCATTAACATTACTAAGAAAATAAATATAGAGCAGTATTTAATTCAATTTTTCAACAATGACATATTACTTCATGTTGTAGGAAGAACAGGAAGAAGAAAACGTATGGATAATCAGACTTCTCCTATTATTGTTTATTTGATTTGTCAAACCAAGTCCAAGGGTTCTGTGAAACATACTACCACAAAGAGAAGGTGTACTCACCCCATTCGGAAGGAGTAAGATCCACTGTCAGTCAACTCCACTGGCCAAAACTCCAAAACATAACCACGCAAAAGAATTCTGGGTGAACTGCTCAAGTTCAGGTCAACAGGTCCATGTGATTCATTTTTGTACCATTTTATGGTGGTTGTTTTTTTCTCATGCTCCGGTGAAGATGAGCAATATTTCAGATAGAAAGGTTCCCCTTCGACTGCGGTAATATGAAGACGTGAGGTACAAGTTTCTTCTAAAGATTAGCAAAGTAAAAAAAAAACAAAAAAAAAACACAGAATGACAACGTAAGGTTGCTTCAGATGAAGAAGCTGGGTTGGGAAGAACATCCTGAGAAAACTCGATGCCTCATTTCTGTGGGTTCTTATTTTAGGGTCAACCTTTCTGACATTAAGAAACAGGAGGTCAATCTCTCTAACAGTAAGGCACTTGCAGAAGGTAAATGAAGACAAAATTTCCAACATCGTCTCCCAAACAGGAAAATACTGGAACTTAACCTACAGAAGCTGGAAGGCAAATAAATGCACATAGTCTCTTGAAAGAAAAGGTTACACATGACAGTCAGCAAGGTCACAATGTTGCCACACTTACCCTGAAACATCCCAGTTGAGGCATCAGCATGGGGAGAAAAAGAAACCTAGAAACCTCAGTTTCCCACCTAAAACATCAGAAGTCTCACGGGTCTTGTTCTCAATCAGTCTACCTAACCATTCCCCAGGCAAGGGTGAGGATGGTTAAAAGTATGCCTATGTATGTGTAAATCCATTACTTCTCTAGGTTATCATGTGGATAATCAATAATTAACTCATATAATTCATACTGATGATTAATTCATATTGGCTTACTCAAATCTGGGTCACTTCTCCTTTCAGAGATCTCTCTCTCCTTCCCTCTTTCTCAACTAACCCAGACACTATGGCTTTAGGGATTTATCAGATCCTTTGGGTCATCCTGAGTCACCTCTCCCCTCCTTCTTCAGTTCCAATAGTTCAAAGTAGGCAGGAATGGACTTTTTTCCTATCCTGTCTTCTGAAAGTTCCCTCTGGCTGCATTTTGAACATGAGAACCCTTATGTTGAACAAAGCAGTTCTCTGGGGGGATACAAAGTATGTGCCTTCTCTATAGTCAGGGTTTATTTTCCAAAGCCACTGTCTGGTTTTAATTCAGTGCTGTTAACCACAAGGTAGAGAGGAAGTGGCTCCAACGGCAAAAGTGTCCTTTGAAAACATGGCTGTCAAAACGACCTCAAAGCACAGCACTTAATGAACATCAACCTTGTTTCTGGTGGTTGTTACAAAGTCTTTATCTTACAGCTCAGGACTTCAACTTAGAAGGTGTGATACATGTGTTAATGAGGGTGTTAGTTTTAACTGACACCTGAAAGGATGGTAGGTCAGTAAAAGCTTGATATATTTTCCAGTTTAAGAGATATAACCTACATACGCGTGCACGCTAAGTAGCTTCAGCCGTGTCCGACTCGTTGTGACCCTATGAAATGTAGCCTCTCAGACTCTGGTGTCCATGGGATTTCCCAGGCAAGAATACTGGCGTGGGCAGCCATTCCCTTCTCCAGGGGATATTTCCTCACCCAGGGACCAAACCCAGGTCTTCTGCTTGGCAGGCAGATTCTTTACTGTTGAGCCACCAGGGAAACCCCAGGGAGCCATGACATAACCTCCCTCTGGGATGGAAATCACATGTGAAAAATTGTAAAAATCAGTGACAAGGATGGTTGTGATCTCTTTGGTTTCAAATAACATGAAGCCAATTTTAATCTCAGACAAATGTATTTCAGAGTAAAAGTTTTCACTTCCTGCTCTCTACATAAACTCACAGGGTTCAATCTTTATCAGTAACTTCACATGAGTTTTTACTTGATTCCATTCCTATGAATCTCTCATTTTCTATTCCAGGGATACCAAAGGGTTGGTAATTTTCTAAAGTAAAATTTTAAATCACAAATTTTAATAAGTTCAACATCTTTAGTAACCAGCTCCACATAAATGAGTAATCATTGATATCCTCTCTAGAACACCAATGAAGCAAGCTTGTGATTGATTATAACTACTCACCTGAGGCACTTATAAACATAAGTAGCCAAACTGTCAGGGGTATTTCTCTACAATGCATGTTTAGGATTCTGCTTCAAACGGTTTCTCTGGAAAACAGAATAAAACAGATTCAGCCAAGACTTTCAAACAAAAGCATACCTGTTTCATGAAAGAGGTTTTAAAAGTCTTCTGGCATACAAGCTAAAAAATTAGCTCAACAAATTTTCATATCCCTTTGTAGTCACCAGTGTTCCTTAGAACTTTCAGCCAGGTAGAATTAATAAAATTTCAAGGCAATTCAGGGGGAATACCTAAAAATGCAAATTTCTAAGACAGCCTGCTGTATTTTAGGTCTGGTCCACTAAATCTGACCTCGAAGGTCAAAGGTGAGGACAACAGTATTTCTAGAAAATCCACTATCCTGCAAATGAACAGTCTGCCTGTGTGGAAGTGTGTGTGTGTATGTACATTGAAGCTTCTTTTTTTCCCTCCCACTACACCAAAATATTCATCACAATCTTCATATGGGTTGAATTTTTAAATATTGACCTTTTTCTTTTTAGAACTAAGTTTTTCACAAGTTAGGAGCTACGTTTATCTTGCTCATCACTATATCACTAAAGTCAATGCCTCCCACATAGTAAGTACTCATTAATACTTGTTAAAAAGGAAGAAGTGTGTCTATACTCACATGACCATAGAAAAACTCCCAAATTTCAAAGTTTTATACAATCCAGATGCCTAAGCTAAATGGACTCAGTGAACTCAAATCTGTGTTGAATTTTGATGCTAATCCAACCGATCTTTTGCTTGACTAATTACAATACAAATTGAGAGAGAATACAAAAATGGGTACATTGGGTTTCATAGATCAAGACTGAATATCTCATAAAGGATACCCATGTTCCTTATGTAACACACACTCGTAAATGAAGTGAAACATGGTGGAAAGAGCTTGGGGTTTGGGACATACAAAACTGGGCTGGCATTCCTGCCTGAGTCCTCACAGGTTCTGCAACCTTGAGCAAGTTACTCAGAAGTCACAAGGATTGTTTGCTCATTACCAAAATAGTGTTGATAACAAGGCCTATCTCCAAAAAGTACTGAGCAATTAAATGAGCAAGTCTTTATGAAGGATTCCTAGAGGTGTGATAGTCTCTCTGCCCCAAACAATTCTTTCACTAATTGCCACTCAGTTCAGTTCAGTCACTCAGTCGTGTCCCACTCTTTGTGACCCCATGGACTGTAGCACGCCAGGCCTCCCTGTCCATGAGCAACTCCCTGAGTTTACTCAAACCCATGTCCATCGAGTCAGTGATGCCATCCAACCATCTCATCCTCTGTCATCCCCTTCTCCTCCCACCTTAAATCTTCCCCAGCATCAGGGTCTTTTCAAATGAGTCAGTTCTTCACAACAGGTGGCCAAAGTATTGGAGTTTCAGCTTCAGCATCAGTCCTTCCAATAAATATTCAGGACTGATTTCCTCTAGGATGGACTGGTTGGATCTCCTAGCTGTCCAAGCGACTCTCAAGAGTCTTCTCCAACACCACAGTTCAAAACCATCAATTCTCCTTGTGCTCAGCTTTCTTTATAGTCCAACTCTCACATCCATACATGACTACTGGAAAAACCATAGCCTTGACTAGATGGACCTTTGTTGGTAAAGTGATGTCTCTGCTTTTTAATATGCTGTCTAGGTTGGTCATAACTTCTTCTAAGAAGTAAGCATCTTTTAATTTCATGGCTACAGTCACCATCTGCAGTGATTTTGGAGCCCAGAAAAGTAAAGTCTGTCACTGTTTCCCCATCTATTTGCCATGAAATGATGGGACCAGATGCCATGATTTTAGTTTTCTGAATGCTGAGTTTTAAGCCAACTTTTTCAGTCTCCTCTTTCACTTTCATCAAGAGGCTCTTAGAATATTGTTAATGCCTGAATCCTCAATGAAGTTTAATGGCTAACCTGCCAAACCATTCACATTAAGCCTTAGGAATAACATCACCAAGGCTTTGATGTAATTTCTGAGAGAGAATACTCAATAATGTAAAGACAAAGGAATATAGTATGAGTGGAAAGTACCAATTGATCATAACCAAATTAGAATACATCTATGGTTTGAAATCAATCCCTTGACCACACACACACACACAATTTTATTATTAACGCTATCCTCTTAGCTCAGGTAGAATGAAAAGCTTCATTTCCTCTGGTTAAGGTCAACACAGCCTTGTAAAGGACACCACTGGGGTTTTTTTTTTGTTTGTTTTATTTTTAAAATTTTCAAGGTCTGCTAAGAGATGAAGTTATTACAAGATTCTTCAGCATTCTGATGATTTAACTCTGAGTTTCAATATGCAACATGTGAAGATCCTAGTGTACAGATTAACTGGTATTTGCATTGCTTTCTGTATGTGTATATATAAAATTTTTAATGTACTTATTATGGATTTAAAACATTAAGATATTAAATTATGAAAGTCATTTCCAAAATAAAAGTTATTTTGATAAATGTCATAGACACCCTGGAACTTATCAATCCTTATATATCCTTTAGGAGGATATAAGTGTTACATTTCTTACATGCAGGAAGTTTGGTGGGTATTTTTAGTGTTATGTTTGATGTTGATACCATTTTTTTTTTTTTGCCTTTTCATAGTTTAAAATTTTTTCTTTTTATTTCTTTCTTTGAAAAAATTTTTCTGATTTCGAAAGTAATATATTCCTATTATGGAACATTTATAAAATAAAGATTGAAAAGAAGAAAATAATTTCAATGTGCATCATACTTTAGCATTGGTTCATACTTCTTTCTGTATATTTTCAAATAATTAAGATTTAAAATCATCTCATATCCTGCAGTTACTACTTAATGAAATATCCTTTTCCTGTGTCAAAAAATACCCTTTGTTATGAATTTAACTACCACATGATATTCCTTCTTATGGATATTTTATAATTTACAAGATATATTTTATTATAAAATGACTCTGTGGCCATCTTCCTGTGTACGGCAGCATAGATCAGTTTTTGGGGTACAGCCTCTGGTACAAGACTGGCTGGATTTGAAACCTCATTCTACCCTTTTTAAACAAATAATTTTTACTGGAGTATAGTTGTTTCCCCTGGAGTAAGAAACGGCAACCCACTCCAGTATCCTAGCCTGGAAAACGCCCCGGACTGAAGAGTCTGGCGGGCTGCAGTCCACAGGGTCACAAAGAGCTGGACGCGCCTGAAGCCACCGCACCCACACATAGTTGTTGCCAGCGTGTCAGCTTCCACTGAACCGCAGAGGGAATCGGCTGTACGCACGCATATATCCCCTGTTTGGTGTTTTTTTAAACTTCCTTCCCATTTAGGTCATGCCAGAGCCCTGAGTGGAGTTCCCTGTGTGCTACAGTTAAGTTCTCATTAGTTATCTATTTTTATACAGACAGCTGTACAGAGTGAGGAAAACAAACATCATATATGATTCCACATATGTGGAATCTGAAAAAAACTGGTACAGGCGATCTTATTTGCAGAGCAGAAAGAGACAGACGTGGAGAATAAACATATGGATACCAACAGGAAAAGGGGGCATGTGGGATGAATCAGGAGGTTGGGATTGACCCATATACACTATCAATAGTATGTATAAAATAGATAACTCATTCTACTCTTTAGCAGCTGAATAACATTCGGCTGGTCACTTATCATCTCTGTTCCTCAATCACTTTATCCATAAAAGGGAATAAGAATACTACCTCCCAGAAATGTGAAGGTTACATGAGTTACTGCTGCAAAATGCCTGGTGAGTGATAAATATCACTGAGCTATTATTACGGGTTGGCCGAAAAGTTCATTCAAGTTTTCCTGTATCATGGTGTGGAAAACTAGGAGGAACTTTTTGGCCAACCAAATATTTTTCTGTATTTCTTATTTTTTCCTTGGTGCTACTATATGGCAATATAGCTATGAGTCAAAGAGTATATTCTAAACATGATATAATGCATACCACCAAACTGTACCCAGAAATGTAATAATTCATACCCCTCACCAGTGCAAGACCTGCACCCTCCCTGGTAGCTAAGTAGGTAAAGAATCTGCCTGCAATGCAGGAGACCTAGATTCAATCCCTTGGTCAGGAAGATCCCCTGGAGAAGGGAATAGCAACCCACTCCAGTGTTCTTGCCTGGAAAAACAGACAAGCCTGGTGGGCTACAGTCCATGGGGTCACAAATGAGTCTGACATGACTGAGTGGCTAACACCAGCACGAAACAGTATTCCTCTACTATACCCACATTAGCGTTGAGTTCCCCCCTTCTTTAAATCTGATTGGGTAGTTAAGTTGGTAAAATAGTATCTCATGGCTTATTAACCTGCATTGCTATTGATATAAATGAGGCAAAATACCAATCATGTATTTTCAGCTATTTTATATTCATGTCTTCATGCTTTTTTTATCCAGTTCTTAAATTTTTAAGAAATTTGTTGCAAAATTTCAAATTGTTGCATTGTTTTCCTTTATAATCCCTGTTTTGATGTCTTAACATATGGACAATTTTATATTTATGCATTCAAATCTATCATTCTTTTGCTTTGTAATTTTTTTTTTATGGTTGAGCTATGCAGCACATGGGATCTTATCAATAGTTTCCTGGCCAGGGATTGAACCTGTGCTCCCTCCCAGCCCATCTAAGGCCCTTGCATTGGGAAGTGGGGTTCCAGATCCCAGGACAACAGCACCGAATGGGTGTGGTGTGTCAATAATACACTGAACTCAGGTACCTGCATCTGAAGGCACAGCTCAGGCAGCTATTTGAAAATTGCATACAGCCACTGGGGTTCTAAAACCCTTGGAGGCACCTCAGAGAAAGGCAAAGTTTTTGAAATTAGGAAAATTTAGGAGTGTTACTTAGTAGCTGGATCCCCTTGGGTTAACTACTGAACCTCCCTGCACTCAGGTCCCCCTCATTTTCAGAAGCAAACTTCACCACTATTTACAATAGCCAGGACATGGAAACAACCTAAATCCGTCCAGTGATGGATGAATGGATAAAGAAGATGTGGTACTACACAGAACAGCGAAGTGAAGTGAAGTCGCTCAGTTGTGTCCGACTCTTTGTGACCCCATGGACTGTAGCCTACCAGGCTCCTCCGTCCATGGGATTTTCCAGGCGAGAGTACTGGAGTGGATTACATGGAATAGTACTCAGCCACTAAAAGGAATGAAATAGGGTCATTTGTAGAGACGTGGATGGACCTAGAGTCTGTCATATAGAATGTAGTAAGTCAGGAAGAGAAAAACAGGTACGATATATTAACGTATATATGTGGAAACATGGTACTGATGAACCTGTTTCCAAGGCAGGAACACAGATATAGATAGAGAGCTGGCGTGTGGGCAGAGGGAGGGTAAGGGGGTGGGACGAGCTGAGATTAGGACTGACATATCTATTATCATGTATTAAACAGATAACCAGTGGGAACTGCCGGGCAGCGGAGGGAGCTCGGCTCAGAGCTCTGTGATGACCTGGGGGGAAGGGGCAGAGGCTCGGAGGGAGAGGATATATGTACACAGGCAGCCGATTCACTTCACTGTACAGCAGGGCCAACACAGCATCCTAAAGCAATTACACCCACCCCACCAAAAATGAGAATGGGAAGCATACTTCCTTTGGCCTGTAGGAGGCTAAATCGAAAACGAAGCACCTAAAAGTCAGTGTCAGACACAAGTAACTGCTTGGTAAATGAAAACTCTCACTTCCTTTCCCTGTTCTCACCTTTCTAGAAAAAAAAAAAAAATTGGGACGGTTTTAGCCTCTAAAATCATACCATCAGGGAAAGTTGATGATGCTGAATCACCAATTATTCATGTAAGTATGCACATATACTTAATATTTAAAATTATATGTATAACATATATAATGGGGTTCCCTGGTGGCTCAGCGGTAAAGAATCCACCTACAATGCAGGAGACACATACAGGAGACTCCGTTAGAGCTATTCTTGCCTGGGGAATTCCATACACAGAGGAGCCTGGCCATCTACAGTCTATGTGGTTGCAAAGCGTCAGACACGACTGAGCGACTAAACACTTTCATACATCGTCATATGTATATGCACACATATTTAACTGATCTTTCAGAAATGCTGCCCCAGAGGCTGGCCGCCTCCTGGGCAGCAGTGGGCAGTGGAAGAATGTGAAGGTGAAAAAGACAGGTCTTTCTTACCTTCAGAAGGGGTCCCGAGGCTGGAGCGGGGCCTTCCTCCACAAGGTTCAGATGACGGAGGCAGGCGAGAAACAATACCTGCTGCCTTTCTCCCACCGTGAAAGAAGAAAGGAGGAGCCGCAAGTGTTATTAAACAGGAAAGGCTGAAAAAGAAAAGGAACGCGAAGACAAAGAGTCTGGCAGAAGTCAGCTGCGAGTGGGGTGCTCGCTGCTCCAGTTCCGCGGCTGGGGGACGTGTCCTGGGTCCGGGATGCTTCCCGTCCGGGCTTGCTCCGGTCAAGATTCTTCTGAGTCTGGCTGCTCCTCCGTCGGGGCGCTCCGGGTCTGGGGTTCTCCCAGTTTGGGGATGCTCCTCGGATGGGGACGCTTAGAGTCCCGGGTGTCCCAGGTTCGGCCCCTTCTGGGTCCTGGGTGTCCCGGTCCGCGACGCACCGGGAGCGGATTGCGCGCTCCTCGCCGCGCTCGGGGTACAGGCTCCTGTCTCTGGGCGCCCCGCCCTTGGGTTCCGGGGAGCGGCTCGCTGGAGCCGGGGGCCGAGGTGGCCGTGGAGGCTGCGGCGAGGGGCGGCGCGCTTAGGTCCCCGAAGCTGGCGAGCGGCCCCCGGGGCCAGGAGGGGGCGCGCCTGGGCAGCCCCTACGCACCCTAGGCGCAGCGGGCAGCTTGCACCAGAGCCCCGGAGTCAGTCTTTGGACGGAGAGCATTTGCGCTTTAGGGGACGGGGCTGGGCTGGCAAGCGACCCCGAGGAGGCAGAAGGGGAGTCCTAAGCCTGGGGGCCCGGCTTCCCCGAGGCTAACCAAAGGTGCGGAGGACTCGGTGTTTTAAACCCTGGGGTCCTGGCTGGGTCCTAAGGTTTTCTGCTCAGCCTGATGAATGCGCGTTCCATCTTGGGAAGTAAAAGAAGTACAGAGGTGTTAAATTGAAATTTTAATAGGGTTAGAAGAAAAGGAGGCCAAAGGAGAAGGTGTGTTTGTAAGTTTTTATGGTGTGCTGTGAGAAATGGAACATTTCCTGCCATGTCAGTAAATAAGGATGTCACAGACATCCACGATTTCAGCCCTCCAATATGAGCCCTAAGGACACTCTGGAAGGAAAGAATACCTGCCATCTAGCTGTCATCAGAATGTAGCCGTTCCCTAAGGTGAACGTTGAGGCACTTCAGGGCGTGCAAACACAGGATATGACCCTCAGACAGCTGAGACGCACAACAAAGGAATAGTTTCAATGAGCCCAGACTCTTCTGTCTTCTCACACATAAAAAAGAGCTAAATTCCTTAACCTGAAGCATCTGGTTTCTTTAATTAACAGTAATCATTTGATCTTCCCAACTGCCTGCCCTTGGTTGCAAAACTCCTAAATATCCTAGTTCCCCCCCTCACTTCCTCACAGCAGTTTCTCAGAACTATCTGAAACACTATTTTAGGGGTGCGGTCCTTATTTTGCCCCAAATACAACTTTAACTCTCAATTCCCACATTGTGCATTTTTCTAAAAAAATCAGCAAATGGAACTCAGGATGTATTTTTAGACTGGGCTGTGATTGTATCTTTCAAGCAAAAATGAGAAATGAAACCCATGGCAGACAGGTAAAGGGTTTAAAGAGAGAGATTTTCATTCTTTTTATCCAATCAAAATCATTCATCTAATAAAAGAGAAAACCATAGGATTTCTCAAGAAATGCAACTAAAAAGCAACTGGCAATATTCAATACTGTTTCTTGATTAATAACATTAGGGAAATTAGGAACAGAAGGGACCATTCTTACTCTGATGAAGAACACCTATAAGAAACTACGTGTAACTACATAATTAATAGTGAAACCCTTGGCATTTTCCTAAGATGAGGAATAATATAAAGATGTCAGCTCTCACCTAGGACAATCATTCTGTAATTAGTAAAGAAATAAAAATAAAAGGCATAAAGATTGGAAAGGAAAAAAATAAAACTACTGGTTTTGGCAGAGGGCAAAATTTTATGTTAACCTCCCTATGAAATCTACAAAAAAAGCCTGTTGGAAAAAATTAATGAATTTAACAAGATCACAAAATACAAGGTGAATATATAGAAATCGATTGTATAGTGGGAATTTCTAATAATGTACTTTCACAGCTTTGAGAAATTTCACAAAAATAGCACCTGGAAAAATAGCATATATTAAGAAACTATGTTAATGATTATCTTTCATGTTTTCCTTAAGAATAATCTCCCTGTTACAAACCCCAAGTCCAAACCCAGAAGGGAGTATGACTGGGATCATAAAAGCATGGACCTTGCAATGCTGGTCAGTTTCAGGCACTAACACCGCTTACGCACTTGCTAATCGTTCCCAAGACTAGCCCAGAAGGGAAAGGCCTGGGGTAAACACAAGGAGATCTGGACTTTGTCAGCATAGTCCATGACATTTAGGAGTATGTATCTTGAGAAAGATAAGACCTGAGAAAGTCTTGTAGTCTTCAATTAGGAATAAAAGCTGGACTCAGAATGGACTCTGCACCTCAGTCCATAGAGGCTGCAGATAGGCTAACCCATTGCACCAGATTTCATGTTGTCTTCATTCTCCTCGCTCGCTACCAGACCATTAGTGCAACAGATTGCAATTCTATGTACTAATAATAGAAATTTGGAAAATGAACTTTGTTAGAAAGATACCACTTACAAAAACATAAAAAAATCAAATACCAAAGGATAATTTTTTTCAAAGATATGCAAGATATCTCCTATGAAATCTACAAAATACCTCTAGGAGACAGAAAATACCTCTAGAAGACAGGAAAGACCTCAGTGAATGGGGGGCTAGACCATGTCTATGAATGGGAGACTCATTGTTAAGGTATCTACTTTCCACAAACTACAGAATTTATAGAGTCTGTATATTCAGTCACAGGAGGAGTTCTCAAAAAAACTGAAACACTTTCTAAAAATCATATGAAAATGCAAACCATCTAGAATAGTCAGAACAATCTTAAAGAACAAAGAGGAATCAAACCAACTTGAAGGTTTACAACAAGGCAATGGTAATCTTGGTAGTGTGATATTAGTATGAGCATATACATGGAAAATAAAAGAACAGATCCATACTTATGTAGTCTGGGCTTCCCTTGTGGTTCAGCTGGTAAAGAATCTGCCTGCAATGTGAGAGACCTAGGTTTGATCCCTGGGTTGGGAAGATCCCTTGGAGAAGGGAAAGGCTCCAGTATTCTGGCCTGGAGAGTTCGATGGATTTGTGTAGTCCATGGGGTCGCAAAGAGTCAGACATGACTGAGTGATTTTCACTTTCACATATATAGTCTATAACTATTTAACCAAGATACCATGTCAGTTCAGTAGGGAATGAAAAGTATTTTACAAATGTTGCTGAAGTAATTGGGTATCCCTATGGCAAGAATATACAGAACTGTACAAAAAAGATCTTCATGACCCAGATAATCATGATAGTATGAGCACTCACCTCGAGCCAGACATCCTGGAATGTGAAGTCAAGTGGGCCTTAGAAAGCATCACTACAAACAAAGCTAGTGGAGGTGATGTAATTCCAGTTGAGCTATTTCAAATCCTAAAGGATGATGCTGTGAAGGAGCTGCATGCAATATGCCAGCAAATTTGGAAAACTCAGCAGTGGCCACAGGACTGGAAAAGGTCAGTTTTCATTCCAATTCCAAAGAAAGGCAATCCCAAAGAATGCTCAAACTACTGCACAATTGCACTCATCTCACATGCTAGTAAAGTAATGCGCAAAATTCTCCAAGCCAGGCTTCAGCAATACGTGAACCGTGAACTTCCAGATGTTCAAGCTGGTTTTAGAAAAGGCAGAGGAACCAGAGATCAA